CGCCCGCCCGCTCGCCAGTGCTTACCTGGGACGACGTCTTTTGTAGGCTGGGAGAAGAGTCAACATCAGGTACACTTTGATTACCCGGCTCAGAATTCACTCCTGTAAGGCTAAATAGATAAGCATTCCTTAAATGTTCTCAAAAGGAAACAAAGCAGAAAATTTTGATATATGGCATAAGTAGTTTTTAAAGAAGGTAAGTTCTATGTTAGATAAAACTATAATTACCCACATGCTTCTTCTTCCATTAGCTAGAAACAAGGAGGGGGAACAGAGTTAGTATGTTTTCTGTCTGAACAAAGTTAACACTTTATTCTAGAACACATACATACCCTGGAAGCAAAATCCGAGAAGGCAGATAACAGTTTGGACTCCATTGACAGTGGGGGCAGCTCTTCCAGTGGTATGCCCTTGTGGACTTTTTCTTTCAAGTTCATGTACCTAACTTTCAAGTCTCCCAGAACAGATAGCAGTGTTGATCCTAATTCCTTCTTAGCAGAATTACTTGGTAAATTCCTGTTCAAAGTTCACAGAACTACATTATTTAGGCTCAAGCCACTCACCTAACACTAACATGGTATCACACACTTAGCTCTACCAGATCTTTGATTTTACCTGTTAAACGAACAACGGTAGATATATTTTCTAGAGTCAGTTTTAGCAACCCTTGATAGGGAAGCCAGAAAGAATGTGACAGAATATCATGCAGAAACTCCAACTGACTTTACCCTTACTTGGACTTTGTAAGCAAAGAGCAAACTCATTTATTTTACTGGATTAATTACTGCAACCACACCTTGCCGTGACACAAGAATTGTGTTTTATTTTTGAAACAAATCTCAATATGTAGCCCTGGCTGGCCTGGAACTCACTAGGTAGACTAGGCTGACCTCCAACTGAGTCATGCCCTTGCCTCTGCCTCCCAAGTACTGGGACCATAACCACACCCAGGAAAAGAAGTTCTTTTGAAGATTCTTACTCTTATATTTTTGGTTGTGAGCTTAGCCTTTAATGGCTGAGCCATCTCTTCAGCCCTAAGCTTATTACTCTTAAGGCAACTGATAAACCAATTATAGCCTATGTTTTATCTTTCAAAAACTGCAAACAGATTTCTAGAATAAAGTCATAGTGATAACATTTTTTTGTTGTTGTTTTGTTTTTCGAGACAGGGTTTCTCAGTGGCTTTGGAGGCTGTCCTGGCACTCACTCTGTAGATCAGGCTGGACTGGAACTCAGAGATCCACCTGCCTCTGCCTCCCTCCCGAGTGCTGGGATCAAAGGCGTGCGCCACCCCTGCCAGGCTTATAGTGATAAATGTTAAGAAAATCTAGATTTAAAATTGATGAACACCTATTGAATCCTGCTCTACTTTCCATTACAAGTTTGTAAATGTGGCTACAGTGGCGATGGCACATCTGATAGCAAACATCCAGAAGGTGCGTCTCTGCCTTCATGGCCCTCTCAACCGTTTTCTCACAGCACTTTGATGGCAAATTCATCTCTTCACAGAGTTGAAACGCCCTTCAAAATAAAAGACAGCATTAGGCAAGACTCTGAACATATTCTACTGCAGTGACAGACTTCTTTCTAGAAACAAATTTTAGTTTTGTTTTGTTTTTGAGACAGGGCTTCTCTGTACAGCCCTGGCCATCCTGGAGCTCACTCTGTAGACCAGGCTGACCTCTAACTCAGAGATTCGCCTGCCTCAGCCTACCGAGTGCTGGGATTAAAGGTGTGCACCACCATATCTGGGCAGATTTTATATTTCTTATATTTCTCTGTAGTTTAATTCAATTCCTCCTAAAAAGGGGGAAGCTACAGCCATAAACTGTTTTGGATGTTTAATTTTTAACTTTACTTTTATAGCTTTGGGATGCCAGACTAAACTCATTAGAAACTGAGAAACAAGCAGGCGCCTGACTTCAGAGGACGGCCACGGGTGTAGCTCTCGTGTCTTCCACTCTCATGCCCACTCCTGATTATTAATAAACGCAAAGAAAAACCGATGGTAAACAGGCTTACATTTAACAATACTTCAGTGAGTCTATTTCTCTCTCCAAATATGTGGCATTTTCCCTAAGATGCTAGTTTGTTTAATCTATGGGTGATTCAAATGGAAGAAAAAGAAAACCAAATTAGCATAGCTGCGGCTTCAGTAAGGGAAGATGATGCCTTTAGGTCTAGAGAAATGGTGGCAACTACAGCTCTTCCTGACACTCTCTAACCCCAGTGCTGCTATAGTGTGTCTGCTGAAATGGCCAAAATGTAAACTTCCTTACGGCCCCTTTAATTCTACATGGTTAAATAGACTACACAGAAAGTAAACACGTGTAATCTTGTACAGCTGACCTACCTCTCAGGATGTTTCTTTCTGTCCGTGGCACTAAATGTTTTCCTCAGTTCCAAGGAATTCTGAAAACAATGTAAGATAAAATTATAAATACATGACAAAATTAATGTTATACATGGCGTTCCAAAACAGTAAAATGTAAAACCAGAGTTTGAAACAATTTTGTTGACAACGTCTGCCGCCAGAAGACAGAGCTGTGGCACACTGCCATCCTAAGACTCCAAATGAACCCAACCACATTTGCATAACTTCTAACATTTGTAGATGAAAAATTTGATACTATTGATTTTACCTCATTCAGGGAAATCTCATTAGGCTTTAAACAGTCCATTGAGAGTGGCCTTCCTGATTCTTTTGGTACAGCCATCTGTGCATCTCTGCACGACCAGTCTGTATTACAGGCTACACTTTGTTTCTCACTTTGCCACTCATTAGGTGGATGTTTTCTCATCATTGTTATCTCTGTGTTGCTTGATGTAGACATGACAGATCTTGCATTTGCCTCTCTGCTCACATCCAGTGTCTGCTGAACTGGAAAGAGACAGCTTGTGGCATCCGGCACTGACTTTAGACATGGTTCTTTCAGACCAGGAGAGCATGTTTTATTCGTGGCACCGCTTTTTACATGGTGTAGACAGCTGTCCTCTACTTCTGCCTGATTTTCTGTGGCTGCTACCTTTGGTAGCACAGGAGAAAAAAAGCCTGGATCTGGGAGGCTTTTGTATTGCAAAGAGCCACAGAGAGAAATGACTGAGTCATCAAAAATGGAAGTCTCAGAAGTCTGGAGAGAATTATTAGCCTTCAGTTGTGCCCCAAGGGCTTGGTCTTGGCGAAACGAGATAGGGTTCTCACGACACTGTAATGTTTTGCTCTGGAAAATTCCATTTCCACAAAAATCTTTTCTTTCAATTGTCTGAGGTTTCATTTCTTTAGCAAACATTTTAGTTTGGGGTACTTTCTGAGGGTTTAAGGGAGAGCTGCTTCTCTGTAAAATGTCATCAAACACTTTACGGTTTAGTAAACCAACCTCTTGTTCCTTACACTTTTCAAATTTTGGTTCATGATATTGTTTTAATGTATCAGAACTCCACGATTTAGAGGAATGAGGTGAACATTTTTGTGCCAAAATATTAAGTGACTCCAAAGAGGGGGCAGGACAACTCTCTAACTTAACATAATTATCTTCTAAATTGTCACTACAGTTAATGCTATAGCCTGGTGTTTTCAACTCGCTCACATCTAGCTTCAATTTGCTTCCTGTTTTAGCCAGGTCACAGGGTAAGTACGTACTGATGCATTCTTGCTCGGCACTGTGGTATTCCTGCTGTGAGTCATCATCCATGTCACTCCTGTGCATGTCACCACGGTCTCCACCAGAGACCTCATGGCTCCTCTGCAATCCCACACTATTATTACCTTCAGGTCCTAAGAGGCCAAACCCTGCCTCTACCTTTTTGGGCATGCCAGGATGTAACTCTGAATATAAATGTGGAAGATTTTCATTCTTGAGTTTTGATTCTGAACAATGTATAGAGTATGTCTCATTTAAAAAAGCATAGTCAATACTGTCTTCAAACTCACTTGACTGAGAGAAAATATTCTCTACATTAGTATCTTGATTTACTGAAAAAGATGGTTCTGATAAATCTCTCTTGTCAACACTGCTGATTTCTTTGTCACTAGCTCTTTGTTCTGCTGCCAATGAATTCCATTCACCATCAGGAAAAGTCAACTTGACTTCATTGCAACCACTGGAAAATAACCCACTTTCTTTCTTAGGATTATAAGGTTTGTCTGTTCAAAAAAGTGAAAGAGAATATGTTAACAACATCATAGAAACTAAACATTGAAAACAACTAGATATAATCTGGTCCCAACTCCTCCAAATGCTGGACTACTCTTACATCATTGATGACAAACACAAACACCCCTTAGAGCAACTAAAATAAATTGAAACTCATCTGCCAAACAACAATTGTGATGGTTACTAAAGCTGGCTCTTTAAAGATCATAAGTGCAGGGCCCTCATGATAGGGTTCATCCTTAAAATGTAGCAGAGTGCTTCAAGCCACACACCATCTGAAGATAAAATATGAACCAATTACCAGCTAGGACGAGATACCTCAGGAGAATCTAACCATCCTGGCATCTCAATCCAACCCCAGAACTATGAGAAAATACTCTGAAGCTGTTTAAGCTACTTAATGAATGGTGTTTCGCTACAGCTATCCAAGTGTCAAGATCCTTCCCGAATCCTTTCCATGTGGAGAAGTCTTTCCTTTATAGGGCAGCCACTTTACTTGTGGATGGGTCTAACAAGAAATTGAAAAACAACAGTATCATTTAATAACTTTTGGGGTATCTACTGAGGTCAGTCAGTTGTAAGCAGTGTATAAATGAGGGCAAGAGGACACCAGTGTCGCCTCCACAGCTTATGGCTTTCCTAAGGGTTATAGATAAACAAACAAAAACCCCACCACAGTTAAAAGAGAAGTTCTGACCATTGTGTTAATGGAACAGGTAAATTTGAGGAGACAGAGTGGGCACTTTGGGGAAAACTTTACATTTGACAAGTGTTTTTGAACAAAATGGACTAATTTGTCTTAGACACATCCAACAAATGCTGCTGGCTGTGTGAATGAACTAGGCCAGCCTGCACGTAGTACAAGAGATGTCTAAGAGAAGTGTGGGGAACTGCAAAGGCCTTCGTGAGGTGCTCAGGACCTTTGGGTCTTGTCGTAAGGGAAGGAAAAGCCACTGTAAGCCTCTTAAAAGGGTAGCCGCGTGACTGGGACTGAGCTGTGGAAAGCGCCTGTTAAGAAGCTTGGAGAGTGAAGGCAGGTAGATCAAGAATGCAGAAGACAGACTAGAGAGGTTCCTAAATAACAGACACATAATGTGCACAGAAGTGAAACAAAAAGCTTCTAAAACAGTAATTACTCTTGGGCCAATGCACTCTGGGATTTTCTATTTCATTTTAGTAAAAAGCACAATTAGCTGATTTTATTTCATGACCCACCGACTGGCCACACCCTGCTTAAGTACCACTCTAAGACTCACTGGGCACTGCATCTGAACGGAATGTTTAGCGCTGAGCGCCTGCCGTAGGAGCAGGTGCAGAGGAGGGAGGGGAAAGCAGGACAGGAAGGAGGAAGATGGAGTTCAGTTCCCCAGGAGGGGATCTGAGTCACTCATAAAAGATACAGATTAATGTCCAGCTGCAATAAATATAGAGACTCACACAGGAGTTACTTTCATACACCAGGGACACTACTTCAGTCATTGTCATGCTTATAAGTGAGTTAACGTATATGCTGTCTTATATCCAAATGTTAACAGATTCGTTACACAGATTGGTCTTCCATGGACTTACAAGGTCTGTCTTTTGCCTTTCCTACTACATAATTATAAAAGCAGTTTGCCCACAGCTACCACAAACTCACAAGGGAATTGGCAAAGTTAATCATGTGCTGAACTATACCATCTAGCTGGGAGAGGCTTTAAAATAGCAACTCTGAAGGGAAACCTTCCTTTATCCAAGTCTTGGTTCCTCACCTTTTTGGAGGTCTCCTTCATTTTTCTGGTAGTTTTTATCAGAACTGGTTTCTCCCACTGCAGTGGCCTGCATTGTTCAAAGATGTACATTCTAGAAAAGGTATAACATTGAACTGTTAGTAGACCGGTCACAGAGTTTAAAAAAAAAAAAAAAAAAAAAAAAAAAAAAAAAAAAAACCAAGATAAAACACAGTCCCTTTCTGCCATCACTTGCATGGCAGTTGACATTCAATGGTGTAAGCAGAGCCATCATTTTTTCCTCATTGCCACTCCTAGAAACACACAAAAAAATGTATCAGTAGCTTATACTATTATATATTGTGATATACTGTCAGAGCCAATGAACATTAAAACAGGTAGGACGCTTGAGTAACTTTTTATTTACTTATTTTTTCTTTCTAAAGACAGGGTTTCCATGTATCC